CTCCATATAGTCTTATACTCAGTTTTAGATACAACTCAAGTAGTCACGTAATTTAGGATTTATACACTTGGGGTCTGTGGTTCAGGCTGACCCAAAATTAACAATTCTCCTGCCTCAGCCTCCCAAGTGCTGGTATTAGAGGTGTATGCCACCAACCTTAGCTCATACACACACTCGTAATTAGCACAATCATCTTACTTCCCTTGATTACAACTCAAGTTCCATCTGAATCCTGTTCACCTTTCAGTAAGACTTCAAAATAAAAGTAGTTTCCTGAAAAGAAAACTAAATCTTTGTATTATCAACCTCTTCTGATGGTTGATACTTCTGAGAAATGTTTGTGAAGAATCAGTTCCTACAGATGGGTGGAGGTAATATTCATTTTCACTAAAAATTCAAAATCTTATTTTCTATTTTTCCTCCTGATCTTAATTTTCAAAATTTATAGAACCTGGCCTCAAAAAAGAGTATACCTGCATTTCTTACCATTGCATGGTTAGGAGCCAGGACCAGAGGTAATCCAATGCCTGAGTCAACCCAGAAATAAGGCTGTCATAGCAAAGCTATTCTTTTCTATATGAAACTCCCAATAATTTTGAACAGAAATCTGTATACATACTCAGTAACCTCACTGCCAGCTGGATTTCAGCAGCCAAGCTTGATCTTCACCTAAGATGAAGATTCTAAAAACAGAAACCTGCAGGTAAGAAGGAGTAATGAAATATTTGCAGGGACATCTTTCCAGGAGGAATGCCTGCAGACTCCGGGTCTCTGCCTTCAAAATCAGAACCTCACCTCCAACCATTCGAACTGGAGAAGCGTACAAGTCATGGCCGCTTCTACACTGCCGTGGTCCAGTGTAGAAGGTAGTGAATGCCCTAGAACATTTCCTGTTTCCACAGATATATTCTTTATTTTTAGCATGAAAACTGAACTGTATTTTTATTAACTCACAGAGCCATTAAAGAGAGAGACCTTCACAAAACAACTGAAGAGAACATATCCAAGGACAGAAGCTTTCAGTAAACTACAGCAAATAAGTGCCTCCCCACCCTAAACTGATGCAGAACAGGGAAGCAGGAAACCTAAGCTACTTTGAGTTGCTTTTTTCAGATAATCACAGTTTAGGTCTTAAATGGAACCAGTTAGCAGTGGCCTCTCCATTCAGTTTGGAAAGGAAACTTTGTGCTTTCTGAGAGAGAAAAAAGCACTTAGGTGCAAACATTTTAAAACAAGCAAACACATTCTGCTTATCTGTGTCTACCCCTCCACTCTGGACGTCAGTCATCACTGAAATAGATACCCCAGCCCCAGCCCCAGAGAGCGCCAAGGCCAGCACGGCTGAGGAATGAGCTCGGGTGCCGGCAAGCACCGCCGCAGCCCTACTCTCCAAGCACCTACTGTTAATTCAAGGCCAACCTAACACAGGCAAAGCAAGGGAGCTCCCAGGTACTGACGCGTAAAGTACAACTCCTAAGCACAGAGTCCCGGGCTCACTCCCTGGTACCACAATAAACAAATAAATAGCAATGAGATTCCTATTTGATTTTACTGTATCTTTTTTGGCTGAATTGTTTAGGGGAGGTTTATTTTTTGGTTTTGGTGCTGAGGACCTGAGCCCAGGGCTCCCGGCTTGCTAGGCAGGCATTCTGCCGCTGAGCCAAATCCCCAGCCCTGAGATTCCTATTTGAAAATACTGTGTGTAGCACTTGATTAGGGAAGGCAGGGATCAGGGAAGCCTTTTATAACATAGGAACAGCAAAGGTATTTTTAACATAAGGTTATATGCACAGATACATAGTTTTTCTTTTTTCTCTTACTTATACTTTGCAATGAGCTCTCTCGCCAGCAAACAGTGTCCTTCTGGCATACAGCCTGATCATGTATCTGCAGAGCGACATTCCACTTTTGTTCCTGCACAGTGAGCTAAGTTAGCTTTTCCTCCTATTCTTTAGGGACAACTTTAAAATACTGCCATAGAAAACATGGCCTTGGTTTTTATTATTTTATTCAAGGTATTTCTATTCCCTTCAAACCTCATAAATCCCTCAAAGAGATTTTTAGTCGGATCACTGACTCAAACCATCTTTGTGTTCATTTAAAAAAAAAAAAAACAAGAAACTCAGGATACCTATTAGTGTTCACTGTTTGGGGAAGAGGCCTAAAGGGAAGCAAATTATTTGTTTGTGGTTTTAAAGAGGCCCAAATGCCTTCAAGCACAGGCATAAGACCATTAACAAATCACAAGGAACCAAAGCAGTTCATCTTACTCAACAGAGCTATGATCAGTTAGGAAGAACCTCACCGCACAGGGCTTGCCCAGGGCCAGGAGGTCAGTAAGCCTTAGCAGTCTGTGTTCCTGAGAATCAGAAGGCTCTTAACAGCAAGTGCAGGCCCTAAGCCCACGGTTGTGCTGTCACATTTGTGAAAACATTCAGGACAGGTGAGACTAAACTGTGTGTGTGTGTGTGTTTGTGCGCGCGCGTTCCCTCCTACTGTTTATGAAACAACCATTGCCACTCTTGCATATACAATCTGACTCGAAGAGAAGTCAAACAATTTAAAAGTTCTGTTTTATGACAGTGTATTGAGTGCCTACTGCTGAGCACTGTACACGCTAGCACTCTACAGTTAGGCCTCATTTTACTACATATTATTCTTTACATATAATAAAACTCAGAGCCAGTGAGGTTACACTGCTTCTAACAAAATTAAGTTCGGTGCTGTGCTTACAAAAATGTATCACTTATTCAGTCTGTGGTGAATTAATCCACAGCACAAAGAGTAGCCCCACGCTGTGAAGGCAGCCACCCTCTTGCAGTGCTTTGGGCCCAGGGTCCACGCACCTGGGGACTGGGGTGCTCACCTTCTGTCTCCACGGATGACAAATACAGCACCTCTCCTGGCAGTACAGCTTCTGCAGCTGTCCAGAAGCAGACCACACTGGTCAACACCCTCTCCACCTGCTGTAACTTGCGCAACTTGCCCTCAACACAGAAAGCCAAGCAGTGACCCTGTTCTTTATCAAACGCTACGGCAAAATAACTTAGCTGAAAGGCAGGTGATACCTCACATTAAAATGAGGTAAAAAAATCTAAACATACATGCCCAATAAGTAATAAAGCTGTAATACTGTCTGGTAGTCTCAAAGCACTTTACACTATAAACTTATTTTCACTGTATTATTATTCCCACTATCAAAATGTAGACTCATTTCCACTACCTCTGTTTTAGAAATGTTAAAAGAGAGAAAAAAAAGTCCACCCACCCATTCATCCATCCATCCATTCATTCACTCAACCCCTGTAAGGTGCAACAACAGAAAGCCAACTTTGCCTTGGTTAGGCTGGGGTCCAGTCATTTTAGTTAACTTCCCTTATGAATCAACAGATAATATTCTGTGAAAGAAAGAACTTCTCTGATAAGAAAGGAAGAGAAAAAAATACTATCTTTGTCGGTAACAAGATTGCGTCACCCACCACCAAACCCAAGGAATCACTATCAACAAAATCACACTAGACCAGAAAGTTATACAAAGTGATCAGATTCAAAATTTACAAAAATTACAATAATCCCATATATCAATCATACTCTGCTGGAAAACACAGACTGCATTTGCAATGAAAACAAAATACACAAAATATTAAGAAACCGTAAGAATAAATTCAGCAACAGACACATGAAAATTTTACAGTGAAAAACCACAGAAACCTCTGAAAAGGTACATAATTTTTGTGGGTAACTGAGTAGAAATAGGCGTGTACACACACACACACACACACACAATAAATAGTAATCTAACAAATCAGACTCTATCAAAAAGCAACAATTTTTAAAATGGTATGGAAATGGAAAATATATCAACAGAACAAAATGGACAATGCATATATAGAGCAAATACACACTTATAACATACTTATATAGGTATATATAAAATTTATAACATACTTTATATAGGTATATATAAAATTAATATATGGCAAAGTTAGCTTCCTACATCAAAAGAAATAAAAAAAAAAACAAGCATAACAAAAGTATAATTAACCAACTACTAAAACACAGTAAACCGAATTCACTTTTTGCACCTAAACAAATATTGAGACTATTAACTATTTCTAAAAATCAAGTTGTAAGAAAACCAGTAGGAAATCTAAGAGATTAGTCTGTGAAGAACTATGAATTTCACAGCTTTGAGGACAAGAATAAAAAATAAGACTGGCAGATTACAGTAACGTATAAAACTTCTATGGGATAAAAACTGTAAAATAAAAACTGGAAAAATATTTGCACCTAAGACAGACTAAACCAACATCAGAGACCTACAAAGCTTCCAAACGTAAAGAAAAACATCTGGAACCTAACACTAAACAGAAAAGGGTAGGAGGAGGATCTCACAGGTGAAGCAAACCCAAAGGAAAATAGCTATCCTGGTCAGTGGTAAAAGGGTGCGAATTAACACAACTCGGACATTTCCCATTATCCGCTAACGTAGCAGAAATACTTTAAAAGTTCTCACGAGATTGCTTTCAATTACTTTTTGCTGGTATAACTTGATCCAACACCCTTGTAAGCCATAACCTTTGATCTAATAACACCTATTTTAGATTTTATCCTAAGGACCAATTTAAAAAGCTAACGATGGCAGGTCGTGACTTCTGAGTAAGCTTCACTTGGAAACGCATCCAATTATCACCTACGACAGGGTGACAACTACAGGGGAGTGCAACTGTAATTTTTTAATGTAAAGTTTTCTAGAGTTGGTAACATTATGGACTTTCATGTTTTAAACACGTTAATGCTCCTGTGGCGCACCGCGGGCCGAAGCTGCCGCCGCCGCCCGGCTCGGGCGGGCTCCCGCGCCTGCGCCAGGACTCGGAGGCCTGCGCCTCACCCCTTTACGCCACCGTGGGGAGCGAGCGAGCGAGCGAGCGGCCGGCCGGACGACCGACCGACAGACCGACAGACCGACCGACAGACCGGCGGCTGGGGCGGGCGCTTACAGGTCCGTGCCGAGCCGCGAGAAGCCGGCGTTGAGAGAGGCCCGCGCGATGCGGCGCCACGGCGGGTCGCAGCTGGTGACGCGCCGCAGCGCGCGACACACCTGGGCCAGGCGGCCGAGCGCGCGCGCGTCCAGGTAGGAGCAGACGAGCAGCAGCAGCTCCTCGGGCAGGCGCCACAGCGCGGGCCCCTCGGCCTCCTCCGCC